GAACATCGTTTTTCCTTGTCTTCAAAATATGGAACTGGTATGGACTCAGAAATGACGCAAGATATTTTATTTGAAAGTGAACAGAAATATTTCTCGAGGCTCAAACATGCTGACACAGTTGCGCTCATTGGGGTCGGTACTGAAAGATATTCCCCAGTTCTTTGTTCAAGTAAGTAATTTTGATATAACTTGCTAAAGTTTCGCTTTGACTTCCCCAATTTTTTTTTCCTTTGTTTTTACCTTGTCCACCACTTGCAACTGGACACGGATGACGTATAAAAACAAAAGATCTCTTTGGTCTTCTTTGTTTTCTGAGGAAAAAAATGTGCTTGGTATTATTTCATGTTTTTTTTTGCAATGAAGATCTTTTGTTTTAATATGTCATCTGTGTCCGATACACGAAGTAAGTGCCGATGTTTTCCTTCTCCCTGTACAGTTAACCTTATTACCAGTTAACTTATTTAAAAATGCATTGTTCTTTTATGTACTGAATATTTTTATGCAGTCCAACACCTAATTTCCTGGCTGAACTTGATTCACTCAATTCCTCAGCCTAATGCACTTACCAGTGGGCATCCTAGGGGCTCGCCCCCAGGGAACCGCTGATGATTTGTACAAAGTGGTTTGTAACCGGTACCCCTCTGTTGTCCCCTGTTGGGGGGGGGGGGGGGTAACAATTGGTTCCAAGACTTCGGATGAAGCCTCCTGTCAAGGGACTTCCCGATTGTAGTGAATTTTTCTTTACTTCTTTTTATTTGGGCGTCACCCAAATAGAGTAATCGAGTTTGTTTGTTTTGACTCAAAGTTGCAATAGGCACATAGTATGTGCGAACATAAACACTCCAAGTAAACAAGCCAAGCGACAAGAATGTCTGCCGCGCACTGCATCACAACACAACATTTATCCTCGTTAGATACGACCCAGAGATAACTCACGGCAAACAAATCGGCAATAGAAAACAAACCTTTTTGGAAAAACAAGGTACACTGAGTGAAACAAACTTTCAATTAATATTGAAAATCAATTTAACAAAATGCTCAGACGCGAAAATTATTCTGATGCTGATTTCTCTCTCCTACATTTTAATATTCGTAGTCTTCCTCATAATTTAGTAAAGCTGACTGACTATCTATCATGCTTAAACAAAAAATTTTCTGTAATTGGAATTTCTGAGACCTGGCTAAAAGATTCTTCTCATTCGGTCGATATTAGTGGTTTCAAATATCTTCACAAGTATAGGCAAAATAGAACTGGAGTTGGGGTAGGTCTTTATGTTTCAAACGATCTATAGTTCAAGCTTCGAGAAGATTTGTCCCTCCATAATGCTGATATTGTAGAATCGCTGTTCATTGAATAAATAAGACCTCGAGAAAAAATACAATTGTTGGTATTGTTTACAGACCGATGGAATGTACCAAATCACAGACTCGATGATTTCTTGTCTACAAACAATGAGTTGTTAGGTAATATCCAGATAGAGAAAACAAAATAAGACTTTTCTTGTATACAAACAATGGGGGTAATTCTCTCAAATAAGCTTCGTAATGCCAATTCCTAGATGGAATGTACTCTAATGTGTTTTTTCCTTTGATGACACGTCCCTCGAGAATTACTTCACATACTGCTACGTTAATAGATAATATTTTTGCGAACAACTTTTTTGAACGTTTGAGAAGTTGTTGATTGGTCTTTGATTAAAGCTTGTGATGAGCCAGATATTGTGTACGAACGCTTTCATGAAATGTGTACAAAGATTTATAATGATTGCTTCCCTCTCAAGAAGGCAACTAGAAAGCAGAGGCGCTTTAAAAAATGGTGGTTAACAAAAGCTCTTCTTAAATCCATTAAAACAAAGAATAAACTTTACAAAAAATATCTTCAAGTTCCAAAAGTCAACTATTCTTCACTCTACAAAAGATACAAGAACAAATTGAAGCAGACCTTGCGTTTGGCTAAGCATCGGTATTATGAAAAGAAATTGGAAGATGCTAAATCAAATACACATGCGATCTGGAAATTTTTAAATAAGTCTTAAATAGAAGGAAAGCCAAGGCCTCAATCAATAAAATACAATATTTAAGTCAGATGGTGAGGAGATTTCTGATCCAGTGGAAGTAACAAATAGGTTTTGCAGCTACTTCTCTACTATTGATCCCAACCTGGCAAAGAAGATACGGCCTCCTCCCTCTTCACATAAAGATTTTCTATCTGGATCGTTTCGAGAATCAATCTTTTTTAGCCCAACAACAGAGGTTGAAATTATTACCATTGCTCAATCTTTTGCTTCCGGGAAAGCGGCTGGATTTTATAATATTCCAATGTCTATATAATTAGGGAATCCATTCAAATCATTTTGGGACCTCTGGCTCACATTATAAATTTATCGATCGCTCATGGCGTTGTACCAGATCAAATGAAAATAGCTTGTGTGGTACCACTGTTTAAAGCTGATGACCAGTCACTATTCACCAACTATAGGCCTGTCTTGGTTCTACCAAGGTTTTCAAAATTTCTAGAGAGAATCATCTATAATCGCTTGTATGATTATTTAACTAATTTGCATATTCTCTGTAATAACCAGTTCTGCTTCAGGAAAAACCACTCTACAACACTTGCTTGATTGATGTGCATGAAAAAATTTCATCTGCTATTGATCGTGGTGAATTAGCGGTTGGTGTCTTTTCAGATCTCTCGAAAGCTTTCGATACAGTCAATCATTCCATCTTATTTGATAAACTTGAACACTATGGTATATGTGGCTTGGCTCTGAAATGGATTAAGAGCTATTTTTCCAACAGACTTCAATTTGTAGAATACAATGGTTATGTTTCGTCTTGTGCTAATATCATGTGTCGCGTTCCCCAAGGTTCAATACTAGGGCTTTTTTTTATTCCGCTCTACATCAATGATATAATCAACACGTCAACAATATTACAATTGATATTATTTGGTGATGATACAAACGCATTTGTGTCTCACAAGGATAAAGACTGCCCGACTAATCTACTGAATGCTGCGCTAAATAAGTTGTCAATATGCTTTAGAGCTAACAGGCGTTCATTAAACTTGAAAAAAACCGAATTCATTGTATTTAAACCATGCCAAAAGTGTACAAATCAACCTATTCAACTTTTAATTAATAGCCAAAAAATTGATCAGGTAAAAGAAACAGTTTTCTTGGGAGTAATCATGGATGAAAATTTAAATTGGAAATTTGAAATCTCACAATGTTGCCAACCGTAAAAGGGGCAGAGTCCAACGTATTCATGTGCAAACTGTGTTTTTTTTAAAACCCTTGGGTTAATTAGATCAAGTTGTATTCTCTCATACACAAACCACGAAAGATCCTATCAAGATAAGACCTTTCACAACCACCACTACATTTCAACACATTGTAACTATACTATCCCTTCATAACCAACCTCACTACAACACCTACAGCTGTAATTCACTGTTACCTCCAAAATTAATTATCTTTTGTTACTTCATATTAAATTCTGCGAGAAACAAGTTTCAGTGGTTAGCAAACTACAGCCATTATCCTACCAATTCACGTCCAGTATAACTCCATGCCTTCCACGTCATGCATCTCAACCAACCCCTAAAATATACAACGCTACTGCACTACTCAGTAAACTCACACACGCCTAGAACATTGACGCCCAAATATGCGCTACCACAGCGTCTTGTTTTACTTAAAATGCCTCTTTTAAAGAGTAGTACAACTGTAAGGCAAAGTTAAAAGAAATGAGAAAAAAAAAATAGCAATAGCGACGAAATGTTTCTCATCCCTGCCAGCTTCATTTTTTGAGGTAGCCTCTAACCTGTGATGAGTTGTTCTTTATTCCCTTTTTCTTTGGAAGGTGATAGCAGTCATGATCTGAACATTTATCTTATCCTAATATAAAGGTACCTTTGATGGGTGGTTAGATGCTTAGTTAATTTTGCAATTGACCCAGCTATCAAACTCAGTCAAGATCCACACAAATCACGATTTGGTTTGTCTCAAGGAAAGTTCGAAGTCTGGCCTTGGCCTACACTTGTTTACTGCATGGGATGAAGTTGAGCTTTCTTTGTAAGTCAAGGAGTGGGAAAGGACAGTTGACATTCTCTATACTTCTATCGTTGTTCTCTCTCCCAGCCATTACTGCTAGGTGCATAACAAATCCCAGCTGGGGTCTTTTCCTCAGGGATTCTGCTATAAAATTGCAAAAAGCAAATCCAATCCCTCATCCTGGGCTAAAAATTGACAGCAAATGTCAACAAATCCAGTGGACCATGCCCACATAAGCCCCCAGGGAGCATTTTATTAATTCTTACCTCCTTTTCTTTGGATTGATTGTTATTAGGAAAAAATTGATGTTGGTCATTACTTAGTGGACCTGAAGGGTTAATAATAATATTACTAGTAATAGTTGACACTACAGCTGCCCCTGCTCTGTATGTTGTCGGTCATTACTATTCCTGGTCTTTGTGTAGCTCTTTGTAATAATACATTTTACTGATTCCTAATGAAGATTTTCACACATATTCCATACATATAATGACCTCATTCTTGGTTAATAAGTACATGTAGTATTTAATAATTATAACCATAGGTAAAACTGATAATCTACTTCATGTATGTTTATGACACTCTGAGATACAATACTCCATTTTATTGATCAATGCATTTTTAACAGGTTATAGGTTTTTTATAGGTTGATTCTCAATTTTAATATTATTTATGATCATGAATAGTTATGGTTATAAGCAAATTGGGAATTAACTTACTGGTAGGTTATAAAACCTTTTTTTAACCTGAATTTCATTTTGACCTACAACATGTACGAGCCAGTTTTGCCATCATTGTTTTATTTTGTGCCATGTAATAGGTAACGGAGGTTGGAGTTTCTTCTGGCAGATGCACTGAACAATGAGTGTGACACCATTTTACATGTGGTGGAGTGCAGTCAAATCATTGTAGAGCCACTGCAATAGCAGCAAGACAGCTTGGCTTATGGATTGTTATTTGTTTCTTAGAAACTCTGAACAGGTCAGCTATACTGTATATTTTCTTGCAATTATGTACAAAATGAACACCTTTTTAAATCGGTCCCCTTCACTTGATGCCCTTGCTGTTTGAACCTATCCACATTAGCTCACATATATATTGCTATGGGAACCAGAAAAACATTCCTGGAGCAAGGGTTAAGAACCAATAACAAATTCAATACAATGTGAGGATTTACTTCCACTTTTCCACTTCAAACCTGGGGTACATTCACCTTGTTGGAAGGTGTGTGCTCTCACACTCCCAATTTCTATTCCACCACCCTTGTTTTGCCATCGAATCAGACATTAATTATTTTATTGAACCCATCAACAATAGATGAGCATGGAGAATGGTGCCTGAAGAAGGTGGAGCCACGAGACAGGCAGAGTCGATTGAGCAGTGCATGAGGGGACACAAATTGCCTTAACTGTATTAAAGTATCCTGGAGAGTCCCCTACAGTTTACAAAAATCAAGCTTTGTTTTCCCTAAATGTTACACCATATTTTGCCCCAAAAGACGTTAAAAATTTCTCCGTAACAGAAGACTGTTTTGCTAGGGTTAAAAAAGTTTGGCTTTCATGAGTTTCAATACAAAGGTGCAAAGCTTGCAAGAAATTATCAACATAATTACATAGCACACAAACGTTGTCATCTAACTCCTCGCACGTAGCCGGAATAAGCCAAGTAATGAAGCATATAACGACAAATCGTCTTCAAATGGTCTCTATAACTAAATTATACTTTTTTTTTGCAAAAGAAACTTTTGTTTGTATCCGTGTTACCCATCGAAAAAGTGAGGAGTTATTGCATAACATTAGGTATAACAGAGGTAATACTCATGGGTTTCATGAGTTCTATGCTCTATTTTTCACCAGGGAACAAACTTCAATTCTTACCTTACAGTTGTCGGTCCTTTTACCTTGCTTTCGACAACAAATTAAAGGCGAACAAAGCGATGAAATCCGGCACTCTTCTCTTATAAATAGCAAGCCACACGAGGTAAAGTCCACCAATATGCACTGTATTCTCACTACAAATATAAACAAATGTCGTGGCGAAAAAACAACGAGGAGGAAAGGATTCCAGATCTTCACTTCGGCAATGTATTCCAGCTAGCAAGCCAGCATATCTCCAGAAGGTGGACTCAAAGTGGGACAAACATTGTAATTTTTTTAGAAGCCTTTTGTGCGCAAACTAATTTATTCTGGTGTGAAAAAATGTATACTGAAACCTAATACACAACAAAAAAATTTTTGCACTTTTGGGGAGCGCGACATATTAATGGGATTAAGTCGGATTAGCTTCCCACAAAGAAAACATCTCTGCGTGGGATTGTACATCCAGTAAAAGCAATTTGTGTCCCCTCATGATCCACGATAACCTGTGAGTGGGAACCACCAGGCACTGTCACACTGAAAATCACTGGAGGCTAAAAGACTTACCATGCCAAGAGGGATTGGCAGGGAAGGGGTAAACTCAATGAAAACTGCCCAACAGTGAAAAACAAACACATAAAATGACATCAAAAGCCAGGCTGTTAATACATGTACGTGAACCCCTGCACGCAACTCCTGGCTACCCCACATACTGATCCATGGGGGAAAACTGCTGGCCAGCATTGTTTCGTGTTTAACTTAGCCTACCTAATTACATTTAGCCACATTTAAAAGTTTTATAATTTCCCATTCCTCTACATGGAAGCCACCTCAGAACTATCACAATACACAACAGCAATCTACTGCACCAAATATTGTGCCTTGAGTGGGTTGAATTCATTTTTTGTTATGTGTTTCGCTAGGGGCAAGTATTCTAGCACTGTCAACTGGAGCGCACTTTTCGAAACCTATATAAGAAGGACACCCACTGTTGGTCGCTTCCCTCGCTGTTTTCAGTCATTTTCTGCAATTAAGCTCCCCAAATGTGACAGACACCTTTCCTTAAAGTTCGGAAAGTTGGTCCTGATTCCCACTGTGTTTATCTGCGAGAGTTAAGTAAATTTCAATTTCTGTTAAATTTTAAACTATTAGCGCCCTCTTGGGAGCCAGTAAACTGTAGAACATTTTGTTGATTCTTGTTCATGTTGATGCAGTCTACAGATATTGGATGTAAAGAAATCTTTTTCTTAAAAAAAAAATGGTTGGAAGCCATGTTGTTGTTCCAAAAGTTCAATATAAATCAGGCCTTAAAGAGATGATGGAGAAAATGGCAGAAAAATTGTGGCTTTAATGACTTAAAAAGACTACAAAAACCATTTTTTAGCTGGAAAATTCTTATAATGATAAACATTGCATAGTGAGATAATTAAGGCACTTCTGGCAAAAGATCAGAAAACCCTACACTAGCTCTTATAATTGGCCACCCACAAATTGTAAACTTAAGGTTTTTTTGTCCCACCACCCCAAGAGAAATAATTTTGATTACTATTACTTCCTTTTTTGCTAAGTACGCTGGAGCCAGTGAATATACCTATAATTATATGTAACTGATTCCCCTGGCCAACTCAAAATCTCCTTAAAACCATATAGCAGTTGCAGTACTGTATTAATTGTTAATCTTATTTATTTTGTCAGAAAGCAGCAGGGATCCTCAGTATATTTGATAGAGATAGGTGGTTCATCTTACACAGGGATGTTTGGTTACTTGACTGCATTTCAAGAGATGATAGAACAGGTACACTGTATGAACTATATGGGTTATTTGACATGCATTTTGTAGGTTAAAAGAATATTCAGGTTAATAAAATCTACCCTGGTTAAAGAATTTGGGTAGATTTATTTCCTTTGTCTCATTACACTATACATGTGATATTATTCACAAACTGAGCTTAATAGGAGGCAAAGGAAATTGAGTGAAGTTGGTTTAAAAAACTGAATTTAATTTTGTCTATAATACATATTCTATGTAGCTATTCATAAAAAGATTTTTAAGGTCCTAAGTGACTTTTCATCTCAATATTATTTATTTTAAGCAAATAAAACAAAGGCAATTTGAAAAGAAAATCTACATTTACATTGTAGCACTGATGAGAATTCCCTTGACAGAAATTTTTTTTCAGGAAGCATCTTAAATGTCAAAGTTTCTCTGTGGTTAACCTTGTTGCTTTGTATGGCATTCGGTTATAAATTATTTAGTAATGGTGACTTGAGATGAATTTAAGAGCAAATTTTAAGGATTAATTGCAAAGCAAATGGAGCTTTGAAGTGAGAAAATATCATCTCTCAGCAGAAGGAATTACTGTACACCACTTCATTTAACAAACGTGATTGTTTATGGTGTGCTAAATGCTACTTCTCATCTTTTCGGTCAAGGGTACCAGTATTTAACAGACGCCCAAATTATTAAGAAGGTGCTAGTGGGGCCAGTACCAAGGGCATCTACTTAGTAAAGTGTGCCATGTTCTTTTAAGGGAAATATAAATTAAGAGATGATCATGCAATCCAGGTCCATATATTTCTTAGCCTCTCATGCAGATGTTCTTTGGGGTTTGTCACGCATTCCACTAACGACGTTAGTGGGGCAGGAATGTGTGACAAACCCCTAAGAATGTCTGCATGGGAGGCTATATATTTTTTAGATTATTTTGTTATTTTGTTAAGTAGTTGTAATTTGTTAGACCTTAGTAGTTTTAATTTATTGTTTGGATGTTTTTCATATTTATTCAGATGTGTTGGAAGATTATGATGATATTGTAGTTACTGTTGGGAGTAGAGGAACGGCATCAGGAATTGCTATTGGCAATTACATGACTAGCTCAAAACTCAAGTAAGACTCCAGTTTGCATTTAAATAATAGTTATTTCGGACCAACCATGCAGTTGCTTGTTTAAAAGATATATTTGCACTTTGCTAAAAATGTGTTTAACAAAATAAAATGTGCTAGACTGACCAGTTCAGTTTTCTATGGATTGTGATTCATGCAGAAAAAAAATTGCCAATATTCCTTTAGTTTTTCCTCTGTTTTGGAATAATTTATTTTAAAGGTTGATATACAGGTAGCCTTCAAAGGCAAAATTGCTTCCTGATTCCCACCTGTTTTCACTAACAGAGTGGTTTTCCTGGCAAAGCAAAGTAATCTACTGTAAAAGTACAAAATGAAAACAGAATATATAGAAAAAATGACTGAAGCAAATGTTTTAATTTTTTTGGGCATAATAGTGTAATAAACCTTTTCTCCCTGAGGTTCCTCCTGAGACTACGTGGTAAAAAATAAACAACAACAACAACAACAAACAAACAAAAAAATCACTGGCCTTTAAGCAGTAGTTAAGGCACTTACTAGTCAGTCAAAAGGAAAAAAAAAGAAGAAAAGCAAACAGATGTAAATCATCTAAACTGTCCCCGGCTATTGCAATTCAAAAGCTATGTTGGCTTTTCTTTCTGCTTAATTTCTTCTGTTCTTTTGTTGGGAAAAGTGAAATTTTGTATCTTCATGGCTCAGTCAGTAAGATTTGCATAATTTTGTGGATGTTGTGCAAAGGTTAAAGAGATTTACTGCTTCTTGAGGAATTATTCATGAGTATACGGTTGATAGTTTTAATTGGCTGGACTTTCACTGGAGGGGGTTACTCTCAATAATGGTCTATTTGGGGAGGCTCCCCACAAAGGGGTACCATTTTTTGGCTTCAGGTACATGAAAAGGTGGAAATTTCAAGTATACGAAAGAGTAGGGAAACCTGTGATTTCGGTCTGTTACTAAGGCCCAAAAGCGCTGACATACGCGTCATATGATTATTTTTATCGCTGTGAAATAGTTGAGAAAATGTTATGGTTTTGTGATTTGAACATTCATTCAAAATTCAAAGTGAATTTACAACAGCTATAAGGGATTCAAAGTTCTAAGCTTAACAGGTATGTGGAAGGGGTACACGAAAGAGACACCTTATAATAGTAGTATAATTATAAATGGGAAAGGGATTGCACCTTCAGCAAAGCCTACAGAATGTAGTCCCTGTATATAACTTGGTAAAAAAATTGAAACTGTGAAAAATTTTGCTTTTTTTCAACTTTCTAGATGCCTTGCGCATGCAGTCAATGTGTCTGACAATGCAGCTTATTTTTACAATAAAATCAATGAAGACCTTAGAATTGGGGGAATTGATGTCAAAGCAGAAGATATTATAGATATTATTGACGGCTACAAAGGGGGAGGATATGGTGTGTCAACTCAACATGAACTAGGTGGGTAGGACTAGGGAAATTTATGTCAAAGCAGAAGATATTATAGATATTATTGATGGCTACAAAGGGGGAGGATATGGTGTGTCAACTCAACATGAACTAGGTGGGTAGGACTGGGTGAATTGATGTCAAAGCAGAAGATATTATAGATATTATTGATGGCTACAAAGGGGGAGGATATGGTGTGTCAACTCAACATGAACTAGGTGGGTAGGACTAGGGAAATTTATGTCGAAGCAGAAGATATTATAGATATTATTGATGGCTACAAAGGGGGAGGATATGGTGTGTCAACTCAACATGAACTAGGTGGATAGGACTGGGGGAATTGATGTCAAAGCAGAAGATATTATAGATATTATTGATGGCTACAAAGGGGGAGGATATGGTGTGTCAACTCAACATGAACTAGGTGGGTAGGACTGGGTGAATTGATGTCAAAGCAGAAGATATTATGGATATTATTGATGGCTACAAAGGAGGAGGATATGGTGTGTCAACTCAACATGAACTAGGTGGGTAGGACTGGGGGAATTGATGTCAAAGCAGAAGATATTATAGATATTATTGATGGCTACAAAGGGGGAGGATATGGTGTGTCAACTCAACATGAACTAGGTGGGTAGGACTAGGGAAATTTATGTCGAAGCAGAAGCTATAGATATTATTGATGGCTACAAAGGGGGAGGATATGGTGTGTCAACTCAACATGAACTAGGTGGGTAGGACTGGGTGAATTGATGTCAAAGCAGAAGATATTATAGATATTATTGATGGCTACAAAGGGGGAGGATATGGTGTGTCAACTGAACATGAACTAGGTGGGTAGGACTAGGGAAATTTATGTTCAAGCAGAAGATATTATAGATATTATTGATGGCTACAAAGGGGGAGGATATGGTGTGTCAACTCAACATGAACTAGGTGGGTAGGACTGGGTGAATTGATGTCAAAGCAGAAGATATTATAGATATTATTGATGGCTACAAAGGGGGAGGATATGGTGTGTCAACTGAACATGAACTAGGTGGGTAGGACTAGGGAAATTTATGTCGAAGCAGAAGATATTATAGATATTATTGATGGCTACAAAGGGGGAGGATATGGTGTGTCAACTCAACATGAACTAGGTGGGTAGGACTGGGTGAATTGATGTCAAAGCAGAAGATATTATCCACTTGTGTATACTGTTAAAGTTGCTTACAATAATTTAATTGTAAACACATGAAATATTCTACCTGGCAACTTCCAAACCTTCCCCCACTACCCACAACTCTTCTCATAGGTTGGCCACTGAATTTAATTCGAAAACGTGTGCAATCTTCTTGGCTTCTTCAATTCACATGACATACAATACAACTGCTTCCAGCTAAGTCTAAGTTGGTACCATTTATTTTTGCACAATCTATGACGTCAGAGGGTAATATTACTGAAATCACTGCAGGGAAGGGGGAATACAGCTCTACATGCTGAGAATTGACTGAGTCATCATAAAAAATAGCACTTTTTTGAACTGGTTGAGTCGTTTGGTGTGACTCGACAAGTGGTGTTCATTGCTTTTATTTTGACTTACCGGTATTTTATGTAATATATCAAACATGAGATGCAGTGTTTCATCACCAGATGAAACACCGAGAAGAGAGTTGAAAATACGACGCGCAGCGCAGTATTTTTGACGAACTTCGAGGTGTTTAATCTGGTGATGAAACACTGTGTCGAATGTTTGATCTTTCTTCTCAAACAAAATCATTTTTGAAGGAGAAATTAAGGATGCAAAAATGAGCAGTTTTTCATCTGATATCCAAACACTCATTAAACATTAATTTCCTTTGAATTTTCTTTATGAATTATTAATGAGTTTGAGAATTTGTTATCAAATTGCAGGGAACATTATTCAGATTTCAAGAACAGCTGGAATATTGGTGGATCCAGTATACAATATAAAGGCGATCAGAAGAATGCTAACAGAGATGACAAATAATCTTGGAAGATTGAAAGGAAGAAGAATACTCTACATCCATACAGGTACAATTTTTCATCACTATATACATCTTCCTCCGTCTGATAAAGAACCTGCCAAATGCTTCGCAAAACACAAACTATTTGCTCGTTGGCAGTCTTAGAATTGAAGTTACAAAATGATCATAGTTAGACTGGAGAGGCCTTCAGATACTTATAAGTGTCGTAGTCTTTTAGTCTGTTTTTAGATTTTTTGTCGCCCGATGTTAGCTGTGTTCACAAACCTGCGCAATCCAACATGGCAGTTGACCTCTAAGACAGAGTTTCCTTGAATTGGCCTTCACAGCGTTTTCCAAGATTCACACTTGCCATTGCTCTCCTCTGATTGGTTCAGAATATTTTGGCGAGAAAAATAAATCTATAAACCAGAGCGGATAAAGGCAGGATGGAGCACTGAACACATCCAAATTGAACTCAACTTTAAGGTGATGTTACATGGGACGATTCGCAACGACGATTTTTAGCGCAACACAGAGTTGCAATGCTGGAACAATGTTGCAACGCTGTGTGGCGCTAAAAATCGTCTTTGCTAATCGCCTCAAATAAGCATTGACGAATGTCAAGTTTGACTTTCACAGGTGCAGACATAAACATATAAAACTGCGTGTTAATACTGTCATAAAATTGGTTTACATAGTCCACACTGTTGGATGATGTTACAATAAGAAAATGGGGTTACCGTTTTGTAGAAAAAAACAATTTAACCCGCCTTCGAACACACCGGAAGCGCGGGAAGAGCGCTGGAGCCAGTCCTACTCCGTATCACACATCCCTTGAAGAGCGGAGTGTTCGTTTCGTCATCTAACTATTATTCGACTTGCTGTAAATAGCCTGAAAATCTACCACACTATGACCCAGGCCTTATTAGAGAGGTTAAGGCATCACGTTTACGTCAAACGGCAAACGCGAATTTGTACCACGTGACCAAGTTTCCCCTTTACTTGTCGCTTACTGTTCATTATTTTTAGACATGAATTAGTAGTTTCACGAAATGTTTATCCATAAGATTGTTTTGAGTTGTTTTTATCTGCTCATTTTCGATTTTGAGAAATTGTCAACTTGAATCTGACGTTTGCCGTTTGCCGTATACGTGAATCTTATCTCTGTATCATGTATGACAGATATACGTCCCCGGTTGATTGGCTGAAGTTAATGATACCACTTTTCCTTTTAGGTGGAGTGTTTCGTTTGTATGATGGCAGAATGGATTCCTTGATCACAGGGTTGTAGTCTGCAGAAGGAATAAAGCAAGTTTCTTATTGGGGAGACATCAATGATCCTCTGCGTTTTAACAATAAAATAAAAATAAATAATAAAGAAACAAGAAGAAAAGAATAAACGCAAAAATGGAAACCGATGACCTCCCCCTCTCCAACTTGTCCCCTCGGAGCGAGAGAGAGACGATTAAGAGGATCTCCAACAGCCGTGTTTTTCTGGATGCGGGATTTACCTTATTTGAATATCGGGATTGGGGATATTAAAGCAAAATGGCGTGGAGATTCGGGTTTACATGGGATACCGGATTGCCGAAAATAAACATCGGGATTGCGCGAAAGAGCGAAATTAAGGATGGGGTCAAGGGATCCGAAGATTGTATTAAAGAGACCCTCGCTTACCTATCAAACTAAATGTTTAGTCCATGTCCCAATAAGAGCATAGTGGAATGCCATATGTGAGCATAAATATCACAAAGGCGTTTTCATGCCATTTGGAAGACAGTGCCCTAAGAACGTACCTCTCTTCAACGACCGCCCTGGAGCCAAAGCTGATTGATCGTCTTTGAGAGGTAAAAACAAGAATGCGGCATGGACTGCATGAACAGAAGGAATGGACTGTCCACTGCCGGGACAAGAAAAACCGGCTGTTGCCGAGAGGTGGTCGTTAGAGGACGTTAGACTGTGAAAGTGAATTTGAGTATGACAATTAAGTTGGGATGCGTAATGTTGGCTGCGTGCTTAGTGATAGCCGCGTGACGCGGTTTTCTTGCATGTTCGTTTCAAAGTTCAAATCTACAAGTAAACCTGTAAACCTTGAGTGGTTTTTCCAATTGTACATTAACTTAGTGTCAATGATTTGAGAACATGAACAGAAGAATTCTTAATCACCATTAGACAATTTGAGATTATCCAGTATCAACGGTTTGAGGAAGTAATGGAAACAAGAATTTTTACCCGTATAAGACGAGAACTCAAGGCACAGATTCCAGTAATTTGATTTCTCTGTCAGTGCGTAAAATTTTAAGGAACACTTTACACTGCTTTTCTTTCTCCATTACATGCAGTTTTATGTTTTAAAATGTCTACGCCCGTAGCAATGACCAGTTGGAAGGCCTAAACTACGTTGGTCACTCTTCACCAGTTATTCAATTCGCTGTTCTTCCTTTATTTCTGTTCTTGTGATGCATTGTAATGTAGTAGAAGCATCTTGTAATAATGCAAAAATTGAAAAGAAATCTCAATCTCAATCTAGAAGGAATCTAACTGTTTTAGCAAACTGATGCCCACTTTTAACATGTTCTTAATAAAGTTTCGGCGACATCATGACGTCATTTATTAAGGAATGGAAATATATGCGATTTCTAATAGAGCTGAAGACTACTTACCAATCAAATTAGCCTTTTTCCATATAACTAGTCAAATTTAGCACGAAACAGAAGAAGAAGGAGAAGTTCCCATGTTAATTGTTAAACTTTAAGTACTGTAAATTTGCGTAAATGAACACAGCTAGACAAAGACTTTCGCACGGATTGAATCCGTTGTGCACGTTCAAAGGCGGTCTTAAGGCTGGTTTTCGTAAGCTACGGAGTCGGAAGAAATGGAAACGTTCTGATTCTTCTGACTCCGAATCCGTCGCGCTTATGACTCCGCTTACGACTCCGATTTTTTATTTTCACTAGGTCATAAGTTCTCCTCCGACTTCGACTCCGTCGCTAGTGAAAACCAGCCTTTAATTGTTTCATGTGAAGCATCTCGTTCACGAAGCAGTCAAATTTGTTCTTGCGTTTTTTCAGCACTTTAAGGGTTGATCTCCACTGTCGCTTAATTTTTACGTGTGTAAAATTTACGTTCGCAAATTTAAATAGAGGCAATGTATGAAAGGTCACACGTAAGCGTAAAAGTAGAACCTCGCTCAACTTCACGTTTAATCTGAACACTTTATATCTTTCCTCTATTTTATTTACGTGATTAAAATTTACGTGCGTTAACTTGCGTAGCCAAAAACGTGTCAGTGGAAATCAACGTTAAGGCACCCGAGGAGGTCCTCAGGGACGTTGCCTGCGTGGTCTTTATCTTGACTAGTCCCTAGACCGCATTATTGCGCCCGGTCAAAGAGTTTCGGGTAACGTAGTCTAAACAAAGATGTTTCCCGCCCGTTCGCCTCGGATAAGTCACCGAAGTGATTTGACCGAGAGTGACTAAGAAAACGCCGTAGAGGGACTGGGCAAGTGTTTAGAGAGATTAAGATTCACGTTTACGCCAAACGGTAAACGTCGGATTCAAGTTGAGAATTTCTCAAAATAGAAAATAAGCAGATAAGAACTGTCCAGAACAATTCTTATGTAGAAAACTGGTGTGAAACTACTTATTTTTCAGTTGAAGTAACAAACAGTCAACGGCAATTAAGGGAAAAACTTGGTCACGTGGTACAAGTTCACGTTTGCCGTTTGGCGTAAACATGAATCTTAATCTCTCTTTTATATCATAGTGTTTGCACACAGAAGATGATTTACTTTTTTGGCTATCCACGCGCGTAAAAAAAAGCCCACACGCATAACCAACATAGTTACATGTATCGCAGAGGTTACATTGGAACTGGTACACTACGCACTTGTCAGTATAATCAGTTCTGGGCCTCTCTTCAGGGGCACCCAACGAGCGAATGTTTCAAACTCGTAAGAAGTGCTACCTCGAATGGTTTTCTCTGTAGGAGCATCCTTGACTGAAGCTGCCCTAGAAACCACTTATCTGTTTGGATGTCATGCATGGAGCAACTTTGGCGGGGAAGTTTTAGATGCCATTTCCGTTCCCCCTAAAATGTTAGCCACCCCAATGGGTCCAGTCGAAAGTTGGAGGACATGGAGTAGTCGTTCTTTTATCCTAAAGTGACAGAATAGAAATCCTCGTGACGTATCATTCCGAAGTTACTCACCTATACAACTATAGACCCTCACTATAGGAACGCATCAGATTACATGTTTTCACAAATTCCCCCATTAACACCCGCTGGTATTTGATCTTAATGGTAAATTCACATAGCTTGTCATTTGCAGTTAACAATACAGTATCACGTTAGATGCATCCCGTGGTGTTAGCATTGTGTGACTTTCGACATCGCGTGTCTAAATTAAATTCAACTTTGGTCACGCAATGTCGCGTTTTTAAAATTGTTGGCATCTCCAGACTCGGGATCTTTCTACTGTGATACGCCCCATTCTTTTCAGAAGTACGCAGTAGCGTCTGAGGAAATTAAAATGGCGTTGGGAACTTCGCGTTAGTTGATGCACGTAGATTCGTTCATTTAGTACATTTTCTTCAGTCATCATTGCACAGGTATTAAACAATTTATTTCGCGTGACTGTACGCTCTGTCTACACTGATTATCTTGTCTCTATCACGAACATTGTACATTACCATGTTTGTTTCAGGATAAGCCTTCAAAGGAACACGAACTCTCTGGTGGTCTAACCAGGGCCTTTCAGGGATAAATTGATTTTTATTTGGAGTCAACTAAACGACTCTGAAGCTGCCTCATAATTCAGATAAGCTACGAGAAGTCTTTGACGTGCAGAAGGTAAGCCGAACGAGAATTTTGATGTCTTGGGTACTTTTAGGTTGTGATCATAGGATCATGGTATAGTTTCTCCTGAGCAAAGAGATTTAACAAAAATGCTGTTAAAAGCAATCTCACAATACTTCTTCCCAGTATATCGATCAGTTATTAGCCTTCAAACAGTTGCTTGTGGCGAGTATCCGATCACATGACGGCCGCATGTGTTTCGTGTCTTCGTGCTTTCCAGACAGACGATCGATTCGTGTTTACGAGAAGTTCGTTTCTTTGTCATCACTCAGACCTCTTCTCCTGGTCATTCGTGAGCTTTAACTACTTCTAATAGGTACTTTTTAATCGTTTAAATAAATCGTATTGATGACAATCTCAGTTTCTGTTTCTTTCTGTTTTACACCATTACTCTTCTTTGTATTAAAATGCAAATAGCAATGCTCCCGCATCGGTACCCAGACACGCTTTAATTGCATTTCTCGTGGTTCCTAATTTTGACTATATTTCGTTGAGGATTAACAAAACTTGAAATGTCTTTCAATTTAATTGTCTCTCATTATTAAAAGGACGTCTCGAGAAGAGATGATCATCAACGAAATACAATCAGAATTGTAAATGAAAATTGAAATTTGCATAAAAATATAACCAAAAGCCAAGGAAGGTTTGAAATGTTATCCTAGGATAAGTGTAGTTCGTCTTGATCGATTCTTAACAACATATGTTGTTTGGAAATAAACCTTTTCTTGTTCACACCCGTCATTAAATAGCCAAAAAAGTTTGCTTCCGTTTTTTTCCTCGGACTTTTAAGTTAACGTGTACCAAATTATTCTGAAAGGGAAAAGAAAATCCAGTTACATACTATGCATTATTAAATTGCTTTTAACGGACACCATTTTGCAAAGTAGGCGAGATAGAGAGCTGCCATAAATTAAAATTCTAAATTGAAATTTTTTTACAGCATTTCTATCGGTGATTTGCTTTTAAAAAAATCTCTCAAATGCAGAAAATTTACGGTTATATGAAGACATTTGTTTTGAAGCTCATCCGACATCGATCACGCTACCGACTTCAACTTTTGTTTGTTCAGTTTGTTTACTTCATTTTAAAACGCCTTTCATAGTTAATTTTCTGTTTCCTGGGTTTGGGAAGTGGTCTGTTTCCATACAAATTATACATGCAAATTATATATGCATCTGTGTACTAGTTAGAAATTGTTATAATAAAGTTCAGACATAACACGCAGTTTGTTTGATTGAATAAGCATGGTTTATGAGAGGTAAAGCTGTTATGCCATCTGCCAATAGTTTGTTTTGAAAATTATATTGTAATGCGTAGAAAATTTAACGGATTCTTTATCATAAAACAAATGATCTGTTCTTTCGTAGAGCACTTTATTGGAAACAGCTAGAGCACGGCTAGTGGAAGGAAGCACTTAGGAAGCGGCTAGGGCTAGAAGAAACATGAGACGTGTGCTTTCGTGCTCCAACCACTTGATTCTAAAATTAACTTTGCCTGAAGTCTACTAATTCCTAGCTTGGTGACTTGTGTTAAGCTACCATAACAAGAGTGCACAACTTCAATCAATAATCATTTGTCTGATCAACATGTTCAGCATTTTCATTCAGCCATGATCGAAGGTCAAAATGTACCATGAATTTAAAAACGAGGACTTCCATCTTCGGGAATAAAATAGGCCCGCAATGGGTTCATGTGTTTGGTGCGAATTAACATCCTTCAAAAATGTGGTCGAAATGGAGAGAGTTAGTTTGGTGCTCTGTTGCTCTTCACTTATCTGATATATTTGAAAATTTAAAATGTTTTAAACCTTTCATTATTGGAGTATATATTCCAAAGACCGTCTTCGATTGTATGATGTAATTGGAGGTTCTTTGTAGTTCTCCCAGGAGGGGAAGAGGGAAAGAGAAGAACTACCTTTTTGGCCAGAACGGGTATGTGCCGCAAAAGAGGGTATACTTTTCAGGGTATAGATTCTTAAACTGGGTGTGCGATTTTATTATTTAGCGTCTTGAGCAGGGTGTCTGTTTTGATAGGAAGCCTTAAAAAGAGTGAGAAAGTTGGCGATGAGAGGTCTACAACTGTGGTACCAACAAAATTTCCCAAAAAACTGTACTTCTCTTGGGGTGGCTCTGTCTAAGGGGGTGTTTACATGACACCAGGGCTTTTTCGCCCCGGAGGGAGTTCACTCCGCTTTCCTCTCATGGTTCTATATTTGTTTACATGATGCCACCACAAAATGTTATGCCGGCGCGAGTCACCTTGGCGTGAGTTCACCCCGGTTCTTGTACCTGGGCGAGAATTTCACTCCGGTACGAAATCTCGCAACGGTATCATGTATTCGGTATGAAATCGGTCTGCCGGTTGACTGGAACGGGTAGCGCATGCATAATGTTTGTGATTTTGAATCACGCGTGCATTTTATCAACATGAAGTGTACCTTCAAATAACGAGATGTGAAAGGACCCAGTCATCATGTAAACACCATACGAAATCAAAAAGTCATCCCGGTATGAAACTCGCGCCGGTGCGAGTTTTCTCATGTAAACACCCACTTAGTAGTGGATGGTTCTTTATTTTGCTAGTGTTTCATGAGAATGTTTTTTTAATATGTTTAAGGCTGAGAACTGATAATATTGATGTTGCGTGACAGTGTGCAAAATTGTATTACAGAGAGCATTTGAAATTCTTTCAGTCTTTTTTTGAAACTTTTTCTTTTTCGTAACGCATTCTGTCCTCTCATTCAGTTTTGTGACGTTCAGGGTAAAATCGATGTCTTCGGCAGAAAAAATAACAGAGAATTAAGTAGAAAACTACGAGATACAACGGACCAAAGCTTCAAACAAATAACATCAAACTTCACTGACTCACTCCTTGTTCAAGCCACATGGTCGAAAACGCTGAAATTCGTCGTGATTTTTCATCCCCTAAGTTAAATTAGTTCCGATTACTCTTTACGTCCTTCTATCGAATTCAATTTTGATCGAATATCCCAAGACTCATCATAAATTAGTCGTCACGATTACATACACGACATGTTTGCACATTCCGAGGATGCTTTAATGGTTACACATTCCAAACATATTTGTTCTAGGTAATGGAAACCTTATAGGATTATTATGACTTCTATGTCATAATTTGCAATTATATGAAGACCTTAAACGAATTTTCTTCGCTTTAGCATAGTGTCTACGTGCTTCGCACTAGACAGAAAAATGCGCGTGGTTGATTTAAAAGCGAGGAATTGACCTAAAAAATTCACCAGAAAATTAAGGAAAAAAGCTGAAACTCATTTTTTTCGGTTAAGTTCATGCAGAAACATTCTCTTCCAATTGGTGATTCTATTTCAATCTTATTATCCATTTAAGGTTATTAAGGGCACTGAGCTTGAGTGGCTACAGACACTTGGAGGGGACGCCCCTTAGGAAAACCTAGCAGAAGGTGCAACAGCTCACTTCAGAAAGGAGCTCAGGCTCTGTGGGGTAAGGGGTAAGTGTAAAATTAATATAATATTAAGAACTCGTTGGCACTCCTAGGCTCATTTTTCAATCTATACAGCTCTTGCTCTTAAGTACTTTTACATCCTGGTGGTTACTTGTTATTTTAAGGATTTTATCGAATCAAAATTGCTCTAATTGGAAATGGGGCAAATAAGAAGAGAAGTAATTGGCTCCATTTTTCCCATAATGATCTATGTCTTGCAGATCTCATGGCTTCTCCTCCAACATTAGCTCCATCCACTAAGGAGACGACTAATTATGCTAGATTATGTCGCCTTTTAGTAGATGGAGGCACCAAGGCGTTGAGGTACACCTTTGACAAATTCCACTCCCCAGCAAATCTGTTTAATGTTTTGAAAGCTGGTTCTGCAGAGCATTTAACTCTGCAATCTCTTAAAAAGAAGAAAATCATCAATGCCACACAGTGGGGTAAGCTTTATCCCTCTCCTCCTTGGTCCGTAACATCAGAAGACTTTGACATCACGCTGCTGATGGTGCTTCTGAGGAATATCTGTGGCCGGGCTGCTCCTGCCACGGGATGGGACAGCCTTCCATCTGCTTCGGACACGAGTGTTGAGGCTAACATTGTCAGGGTGAAGTTTTATAGGAACTCGGTCTATGGTCATGCCATCCAGGCGTCTGTGGACGATCCAACATTTAATACCTTGTGGCAGTATATAAGTGCCGCACTGGTTGCCCTGGGTGTAGATATAGCCGCTATCAATAAACTGCAGACAGAGAGCATGGATCAAGAAAGAGAAGGCCATTACCGCGAGTTGCTAAGAGACTGGAGGAAAGACGAAGATAGCGTCAAGGACAAACTAGATAAAATGGAAGGTATGAATTCAAAGTGGACAGACTGCAAATTATAGTAGTTGCTAAGAAATATATATCTACGTGTCGCAACTGTTCATCAGTAGGATTCCTAAAATGCGTGCAATTCCACAATTGGTTTCGGCTCCATTAAATCCTTTACCAATTGCAGAACATTTTAGGAGGAGCCACCCACCATGTGAACACAGTCACGGACAACACATATAAGTGAGGGAAATAACGCAAAGTAAAATTAAGACGTTAATTAACGAACTGAATGTACACGTCAATTAAATAAATAAACAAGTAATGCGCGCCCTCAAAATAAAACTGTACACGCAGACACACCAAGATACGACTGAAATACGACTCCAAGCAGTAAATAATTAATGTAAGGATACGATGGTGCAATTCAAGCCTGGATTCCTAATCTCATCTCCGCAGGGCTGTACCACACTTCTCGACGATAAGACCATGGCGACTGAAGAATTTATTGTTGTAAAGCATCTTGGAATTAAATAGGTCTTTTTTACTGTGTTATTGTTTCTCTGCTTATTTCTTATAGTAACTGGTATGGTTTCCTGGTTTTCCAGTTAAATAGGGTCTGGTTGGGGATGAAACAATAGCTAAAAATTGGCCGGACAAAACTCACTAACTTCTCAGCGCAACCAAAACTCGCCGCGCGAAATTTGTGTCGCTCCGATAAAATATTAGCTTCGTAGACGTCGTTAATATTTGCGTTCGGAAGTATAAAAAAACACCTGAACCCTCGATTGAAGGGGGCGAGCATTGAGGTTCGATTCTGTGAAATCAAAATTTATTGTGTCCCTTAGGGCCAGTTATTAAGTGCCTAATTTGATTATCCTTCCATTTTTCTCTTAAGGTGCAATTCAAGAGGGCCTCAAAGGAATCAAAAGTGAATTAGGATTCGTCAGTAAGAAGTTAGAGACTTTTCAAATATATCCAGCCGAACATGAAGGTCAGTCCAGATTAGTTATTCGCCCATACGCATTCGATAAAAACGGTCATGAAAACCATTATGAAAACGCTCTCCAGATTGTTAATTTTACAAAACGCCCATTTTCTGTCCTTGTGTAAGCGGATGAAAACAAAGATTTTAGAAAACGATGATGTACTCTTTTTTATCCATCGCTAGATACAATAGCCTGCGAAAGCAGCCATTTCTCCTCGTTCCTCGCCGCTTGTAGACGTTCTGCGAGGAGAAAAGTCTGGGACCCAGCGAAAGAAATTCCATACTGATGACGTAAATCAATGTTTACATAATAATAGTCATGGGGTTCCAAATTCAAATTTGTTCAATTTTACGTTTCTCCTGGTCGATTTTGGGAAAGTGTTGTGTTCATCTGCGAAGGAGCTCCAGCAAAACGCAAATGGTTCTTCTAGGGAGGAATATATTCCACAAATATTGACTGTTTTGTTATAGATTCATCGCGTTTACATTTGGCCTTTGTAGCCTTTTGCCTTTTGTCCGTCATTCGTCAACAGTAGCTAAAACAATGCAACTAGTCCGTCGTCCAATCACCGCTTATGACCGGGTTCTGGACAGATTTTACGTCATCAGCATGGAATTTCTGTCCCTGAGTCGCAGACGTTCCCCCTTGCGAAACGTCACCTGTGACGAGGAGCGAGGAGAAACAGTTGTTTTCGCAGGCTAGAGATACAGTGATGTTCCACACCACCACTTGGCCCCTTGGTTAAGGCTAATGGGATGTTTTAAGTTAATTCTTTTGCGTTAACTGTTCAAGCTTATTAAGTCGGAAAACAGGCCACCACCACTTTTAGTCGCGTGATAGAGTGACGTGCAAAAGGTAGCCAATACACAGCGTGAAAAAATTGCCTCTTCCGAGAACACACTGTTTGAAGGACTTTTATTTGGATTTATAGTCAGTACTTGAACCCTTAAATTGGCAAGGTATGGATATTTTCTCTTATTGGATCACTTCAATGAAATCGTGACTTCCTTTTCTGAATGGCTAAAATCGCGGAAAATTAAAAGCTTGTTAAAATCCTTTGCAAGCCTGGTGAATTTAGTAAACTTGCTATAGAATACTATTTTGTCTTATGGGGTAAATCTTCCGCGCTTACCAAGCCTTTCAGCTTAACAATAGTTTTTTAGTTCGTGAACGTCATTCTGATAAGATTGCAACTAAAAATTTTTAATTATTTTATAATTATCTTTAGATCTTCTACACACCTACCCTGCCGACCATTGCGCCTTGTGCAAAAAAGTGTGTTTATTGGTCGCGATCGAGAATCGCACTAGCATCCATTTCATTTCTTAATTTATAACCACCCAGTTTTGCATACTCTGAGACGGGAAGCAATGAAAATGTTGAGGTTTAGGAAATGGACGCGCGAAAAAAATCTCGTAGTTTCCCTAGGAATCGAGGAAAATATGCACAGGCAGGGAAACGAGTCGTCAACTTATTTTTTTATTATTTTTTTTTATTTTTTTAAATAATTGTTTTATTTAAATCACACTGTTAAAGTTACAAAGAGATACATAATGACGTACTAAGGAATTGAAAAAAGTTAAAAAAAACAAACAAAACAAAAGGGACGAGACGAATGTAACTTACAATTGACATTGACTATATAACTAAATAGAGTTAATCAATCACAATTTTTCTAACTGGTACTTAAATTCTATTTGTTTGGCAAAGTCTGAGATAGTGAGCTCTTTGTTATGAAGTTTACCGGAATAAATGTAAAATCTCATAAATAACAGAGTGTAGTTTAATTTTGCTGTACGTCGGCCATTGTTGAGTAGATTTTCGGAATGTCCAAATAAATATTCTTTCAATGAACGAAGTAAGTTGGAATTATTCTTAGAGTTAAACCACCTAAATACACTTTCCCTAAACGACTGTGTGAATTGGCAGTTAATGAAGGTGTGGTCCACGGAATCCTCTTCGCTACAAAATAAACAATCACTATCCTGTTTAATTCCAAAACGAAACAATTCTTTTTTGGTGACAACAATCCTATGTAAAAACTTAAATTGAAATTCTCTTAGCTTGTTCTCTTTGGAGATCTTTCTCGCTAATTTGAGGAATGTTTGCCATTCATTTAATTCTGTGTTAAGGGTTTTTTTTCCATTTCTGTGGCCAAGTTGGCAGTGGTGTAGAGTTCCGCTGATTTAAAATCCAATAGAACTCTTTAGTTTTAGCTTTGTCTAAATTGAGCTCGTGACCATTTAACAGCTGGAATAATGGAGATTTTCCAGATGAACGTTTTTTTAAAATTTCGTCCAGGTTTCTTGCTTAGAACAGAACATACTTAGGGATGGCACTCAAAACTTGACAAAAATTCAGGAAATTCGTTTTACAAATATATTTTCTTTGAAACTCCTCATACGCAAGAAATTGTCCATTCTCCTGTAGGAGATCCTTTATTGAAATAATTCATTTTGTAAAGCATTCCCTTATAAAGAAAGGTTTTCCATCTATTAAAATTTCTTTGTTGTTAAACAAAATATGTCCTGTTCATCCTTTTGTTTAAGTTGACGTTTTATTTGGACGAAGAACGACATTATAATAATCTCTATGAAAAATAGGTAGTTTTGGGTCTAGATACCTTGGATCGTAGTTGCATCTTAACAAAAAGTTGAGATCTCCCAGTTTTCGAAAAAAAATGGTCAGGTATTGATTTCCAGTTTTGCTTTACTCGATTAAGAAGTCTAGGTAGCCAAGCCAAACGTAAGGCTTTTAACATGAGCATAAGAATTCCTCCCTTTCCGTAGTCTTGATATAAACATTCTCTTTTGGTTTTGTCCTTATTGTTCTTCCAAAGGAAGTGGGAAGCCACCCACTGGCAGAAAAAGTAAAACTGATAAAGCTAAATGAAACTGCCCAAACCACCCACTGGCTAGAACAAATAATGTCAATCGGATCTGCGTAAACCACCCACTGGCTAGAACAAATAATGCCAATAGAATCGACTTAAGCCATCCACTGGCTACGTGCAAGCCACCTGGTTGCCCGTCTGCCATTTGACACATAATCCTTCAAGCTTAGGCGCAAAAGATTGCAAAACTTTTCTAAAGGCCAAAATCTCACCCGTAGTGGAACTTTCCTTTGCTAAATCAGCCGACCAAACACCTTGCGTGGCCACCTGGGGCCCAAGTTCAACAATGTGACCGCCATATCCGGTGTCACTAGCATCCGAATATGCAACTCTGACTGCACTGGATTTAAACCAAATACGACAGCCATTGAGATGATCTAAATTGGTTTGCAAAAAACTAATTCCTCCACGACCGAGTCTTCCAGATAAAAATTAGAAAACCAGGAATTCTAGCCGAAATCTGGGCCTACATGGCACGAAACAGTAAACGCGCAACGTCTCCAATAGCCAAAAACATAGAGTTCAACTGACCAGCAACGATAGCTAGATCCTTAGCGTTAACAAGACGCTGAGCAAGGATACGCAAAATACTCTCCCGCAACTTCGTAATCTTCGGAAGAGGAACGGTGATGAAATTAAGACTAAAATCTAGATGGAAACCAAGCCAGGTACCGACTTGAGACGGCTCCCACACTGATTTTTGAAGGTTCACAAAAACAGCCACAGAGTCCAAATCAGAACGGCATAAACGACTATGGACAAGGCAACTTGCGTAATCGGGGCTCCCGCCAATACCGTCGTCCAAAAAATTAACAACACGACGCCCAAGACAGCGCCAGTAATTAACGAGCGAACGCACTAATTTACTGAAATTTCGACGTGATGGTAACTAGATTTGAGATCAAAGGTGGAGATAAAATAGCCTGATTGAAACAAATCAAACATAGTGCGACTATCTTCGAACCGAACAGACTGCTTCCAAATGAATCTGTTTAAGTACGAAAGATCCAAAATAAGCCTGCATTTCCCACTGGACTGCTGCACCAAGTGCAGAGGACTGATAAACTTGGGAGGATTAAGAACTTCCTTAACACAACCACGCTCAATTAACTCTGAAATGGCCTCATTAACAAGATCTTTAAACTTGAAGGCCGAAGATCTGTTGGAATAATATAATTCTCAGGCAAATCAAAGAAAGGAATTCTGTAGCCTTCAACAATAGTGTTAATGATAAAGTCGGAGGCACGAATGGAATTGGACCAAAAATCAACCAACTATAGTAAACAAACAAGAATCTGAAGACTTTTTAAAATCAAAGGCACGCTTGGTTGACGTATCTGATCTTCCTGAAGAAATGAGATTGGGGCAGTTGTTTCTCCAGTGTCCTTCCCGATCTACAAGCGAAGCAGGTTCCTCTCCTAAACTGAGATCTGGACAGAAATGCGGCTTGTCGAAACTGAAAGGGCTATCAAAAGGACTTGACAGCGTCGTCAGCGCCGAGGCGTGAATTAGAAAAATGAGAAAAAGAAGCATGATTAGATTTGTAATTAGCAGAACCCGTTTTTACCCGCGATTTCTCTGTTTTAGAGTCAAGGGCCTTCTTTGCCCATTTTCAGCTTTAGAAATACGAAGTTCGTCTTCAGGAGTATCCGCCAAGTCGTCAGTAACGTAAGCCGAAACCGTAGCCCAACCACACTCGGATCGATCGGCCAGCTTAATTAATTTTTGACGTTCAGACAAAAGCTTCTTACCCTCTTCCAGCTCTTTTTTTCGCCTTATCTAGCTTCTTGTTCTCAATGGCGGAGATGGCTGAATCAAATCTGGCTTCCACCGACTGGTTAAACTTGAAGTGCTTCTCGTTTCCCACTTTCTTCCACTTATGGAATGATCTTCTTTGACTTTTTTAACGACAGATCTTACGCAGTCCTCTTGATCTTCAGAAACAGATCTCTTGAGCTCTTGTAATTTCGAATCAACACGTTCTAAGATCGCGTCTTGAGATTTCTCTAAAAGCTCGACAAGTTCCTCCTTGTTCATAGTGAGTGACCCTAACGCTGGAACAGCAAGACCCAGATGAAAGACAAAACCAGTACACCCAAATATATACCCCCTCTAATTACCCACTTACCAGCGCACATGCCTAAACAAACGTAAGATACCGATGAGAGCATATTTTCCTGCTAATTACCAAGTCAAACGCAGGAAAACAGTATTCTCGGTTTTAGGAAATTAATGTTCAACTTACCATTCACACACAAAGAAAGAGGTTGAAGTCGAAGAACGTGATCACGTGCATGACATCTCCACGAAAACGAGACTAAAGAAAATGAAAACGAGTCCAAAGGAATCCAGTTTCCTGCGGCCGAGATGCCCCTGATAAATTAATAGGGGCGGCCAATCGGCAGTCCCCCGCCGGAACGCCGGAAGATAGCTCGAAAATTTCTGCCTTTGGGCCACAGGAACACCAGATAAGGATGCGATCTGACGAACGCGATGATTGACGGAAAAGAAAAACCGAAAGTCCCTTCGAGGTTAGCCATATGCGCAGCGCGATGCAAAGAATTTTGCTTGTAATTTAATGTCTTTTAAGAATTAAAAACCTCAAAAGGCTGTCATTGTATGAGCAAGTTGCATTGATGGAACTTAACACGGAAAGGCATGAACATAGTTGTTTATTCAATCTTGAACACCTGTGAGAGATATCAGAATAGCGGTAGCTCGTTCTTGTATCCCGAGAACAAACTCCAGAGAAGGCTTCAGTTTTAGGAGGTTAAAGAAGAGTCAGTTTGTTCTCAATTCCAAAAAATTAAGACGAGTAAGGCGGTTGGAATTGATGAACTTCCAGCACGACTTCTAAAGGACTTATCGGGGGTTGGCGCGAAACCACTTACCACTCTGAGTAATTTATCATTATTTTCTGAAACAAAAAAGTGACCACCGGAATCGCAGGCGCGTTTGTTATTTGGCAGTTATTGGATCGGCTTTCGTATGATCGGAACAGTAACGCAGGTCTGGTCAATTAGGGGGATAACACCTTCCGATATCTGAATAATTCTTTAGATCATACGAAAGCCGAATCCAACAAATTGAAATTCGGCGACTGAGGATGGAGGTCAGATCCCCTAAAAATGAATTCCATTTTAAACATAAATTCTTTGAGTCACGCTAACTTTTAATAATGCTCTTAACAAAATGAATTTTAAATTTTTATGACCTTTTAACTTAATCGTGAGAAACAAACCATATAATTTTCTCTTTAGATCAAATCAGAGAACAGACGGAAACAATCAGCAAGAAGATAACTGAGGAAGGAGGTCAGTTCCGAATGCTAATTGCAAATTCCGTAACTTGGACACTCTTTCTTTTGATTACTATGTATTGCCATAAAATTCCATTCAATCAGCTTTTACTAATATGATCACGTGTATGGAGAAGACAGCCCCTTAGAGCGTTAAAAATTCTTTGAAGTAACATAACTTTAAATGGGCGTCTGGAAAGCCAGGAAACCGGAGTTGGGAAAAGTAGCAGGAATAAGAAAAAGAACCAGAACGCGCTGGGAACCGGAGCGGGAACCCAAATAGAACACAGAATAGCAATTGGAACCGATAAAAATGTAAGACGAGAGACGTCATGTATCTTAAGCTTTGGAAATTTTTTCGAACATTTATTTTACAGAAAAAAGTCGCTGGGTGCCCCTGATTAAGGAAATGTTAAAGGAAACGATTTGCATGGAGGATTTTTGTGGAAACAACGAATCAAAATTGTTATAACGCTGTGTTGAACTCAGAATAGCCCAAAAGAATCATCCCGTGTTTTATCGCCCTTAGCCTCAAACCTACCCTCCCTGTAACTCTATAATGTCACAAACAGGATGGAGGAGATAGTACATATATTTTCAGTGTCAGACAACGTGTGAAAGAGACGCCCAGAGGTGATGGATTGCCATAAACCTTCAGGATTGTCGGATATATTCTGTTTATCGTACTAAAACGTGAAATGGAAACGCAAGTGTCACGAGTTAAAAGTGTAGAAAGGTTAATTAGATTCACTTCCAAATTAATACGCTTGTATCTTGCCACCCTGAAAATCTTAAGGAGGCTACATGTCACCTGAGCTGCCATCTCAGCCGCATGTTATAATTCATCCACAATGCAAATAAATAGCTAATCAAAGAAAGACTATCGTCAACTCGTGGGTACGTTGTTTAGAAAATAATCAATTAGTTATCACCTCTGGTTTTCCCACAGTGAATTTTAGGAAATGATAGAAATTCAGATTATAAATATACTATCCTTGTTCTGGAAACACAATACTTTTCTTGCTTATTATTGTACTTTAGTAACAGTCATTTAAGTATATATTTAAAAATAAAAAAAAGGTAAACAAATCAGCAAACAAGACAAAACAAAAAAGAAACAAAAAAGGAAGAACGGAAAAAGGTCTTTAGCAGAATTTGAACCCAGAACCTTCGGGTTGACCCGACCTCACACATCTAGTATTTTAAAAAGCGTACCCGTGAGTCAAGATTCTAAAGAATATGCTTGATGCAAGTGCGGAGAATTTGTCCACAACAATACGAAAACCTTTCTTTAGAATCGCTTGGCATTTCTGAACAAACACTAAATACTCTGCTAAGGTTTCGTTGATAATTTCTGTGGATATTCATCGGGAGTTGACTTAGTGTGTCAGAACTTGAATATTGAATATTAGTGTCGAAAACATTGAGATTTCACTCTATGCCCAAGCTCGACAGTCGCTTCTACTTTTAACCCAAGGCAATATTTATAATCGCTTGACATTTCTAAACAAATATCTTATGTTCTTAGAGGAATTAAACGAGCCATTTCGAGAAAATTGGTCAAAATTTCTGACTGCCGGGTATCTAGTTTTTTGAACACGAGCAAGAACAAGCTAAGAACATATGCGATACAAAGCCGACATAACTCCTCCGGAGAAGTAGGACGCAAAACATTAGCTCGTGTTTTCTTATCTCGATTTCCGCTGTTATTTTAAAGGTAATGCTCAAACTCGCATCCATTTCCCCCCGTGATCTTGGGGAGTCCTTAAGAAGAAGAAGAAGAAGTGCCTTTATTTACCATACATTTCACCAGTCCGTATTTTATACCGATTCGCAGTCCGTTGTCCGCAGTTTGAAAGATCCCTTCGTGTCTTAAATTTGGTAAGACCTCTATCCTAACCGTGCTGTAGCGCACGATGCACGCTCTCAGCGAGGAATTTGATGCTACCGAACTTCGGCGAGCGCGTGCTTCTTTGGAAACGACAGATCTTCGCGCTCTCGAGTTCGGACCCGATTAATTACGAAGTGCGTCTACTACGAGTCAGCGAGTGACTCATTTGCATATCTCTGTCCCTGCAATAACTCGTGGTACGCTCGCGCGTACCCACGAGTTAAAAGGGTTGGAATCATCTACCATAGGGTAGTTTAAGATTTTCTCAAGTACCCCATTCGTCTCACAAGTACCTGTTCCCTTACTCTATTCAAAACTTATGATAATAGTATATCTCAAATCACATCCCCTTCTTTTAAAATCCAACATGCCAGCGCGGGGGTAGCTTTTTTTACTTACATGTGTGGTTAAAAAATTTGGGTATATAGAAAACGAACTGAGGACCAGCTGAAAATCACTTGAAATTAAAAAAAAAAACATCGTGAGGTGAAATGGAGGCGCCGTCGTCTCTATCTGAAGGCTAAGAGAGGGCTAGAGGCTAGTAAAGAAGTGGTGTCCCTGCGGTCGATTCTTTTCTTATCAACTCTTGGTCACTATTGCTACCTGTTTTTATTGAGTTATTAACTGAAAAAAAAGACACCAGAAGAGGGGTGCCCTTCTGGAAGGAAGGAGAATAGTTCAGATGGTGTGTTGTACCATCTTGGAGTAAGCAATCCGGACCTATTGCCAAGGAGGGCTATCCCACATACTGTGGGGTAAAGTGTAGCCCAGGTGCACTGCCCCGCCACCAATGAATAAGTAACAAAGTAAAATATACAAACAGCTAGAATTTAATTGGTGGATATTATATCAAGCTAATTTTTTATAATGGTGGCAACTTAATGAACAAGATAATGTAACAATCGAGGAAACAAAATAACCAAGTAAAATATAATAAAATGAAATAGCGTAGGACAGAAATGAAATAGAAACAGGCAGGCATAGCGATTAATGGAGACAAAGCTTCCAGTTGGGTAGGAGGGCGGGAAAAATACAATATGCAAGTCTAGGTTCTTGTTTGAAGAGTAAAGCTGAAATGTGGCTAGCAAGTGGTATGAGGGAGTTTATATAGGGAAAGTCAGGTGAGAATCATGTGATGCTGTGGAAAATTACTGGGAGCTTTGGCAAACAATTTAATATTGTAAAAATAAAAGTAACTTTATGCTAAGCAATGAGTTATTGACTGTTGCACGAGCCTTGACTGCAAGGGTGAGGGGAGTAGACAACAATGGGGACAAGTGAGGAAAGAACTAGTACTGCCTTAGGGCTCATTAACCCCAGTTTCTTAGCAGAAGGAAGAAAAAAGACGAAATAAACGATAATATACCTTTAAACCCTATACCTGTTGCTATATATTCCCATTCCCGTTCTGAATTCCGAATGTCTGTTTCCTGGTTTTCCAGACATCCACTTTAAATTGTCCTCAATAATAGGTATGCGCCGAAAGTTTAATTCTGTTAAGTATATCCTCCCTGACAGATAGAACAAGAAAAGACTTCAAGCAGATGAAAAGCGACATAGAGACTCTGAAGACTTTGGTTTCTGCGACCAAAGAGGAAGGTGAGTTTCCCCACACTGTAGCCCGCTGGAAATTTAAAGTATCCGTCTAAAAGAACTCTTAAAAGCGGGTATTGCTGATGGATCAGTGATCGTTTGTCTTACAAGTGTTTCTCTCGTGCCCTTGGATCCCAAAACAACAGTTTTGTATCCAAGGAGGACCCAAAGTGCTAAAACTTATTCATTTGCCATCAATTAACATTGTAGTTCTCTCAGCGAGAGGGATGAAGCATGAACTAGAAACAAACACCCGAGACTGTGTAATATAGTCCTCTATTTTCCGGTAAGATCATGGCGTTGCAGCCGCCTATACCAGTGGCCTGCGAGGCAGGCCTTAAACGGGGAGGGGGAGAGGAAGAAAATCGCGTCCCTCCCGGAGGGAAAAAAAAGGGCCTTTTCCCCTTCCTTCCAATGACCTACTCATTTCAGTGCCTGCTACGTAGGTTACCTACTTATGGTGGCCATATTGGTTTCAAGTGTACCGAGGTGTCGTCTAACATTTTAAAAAAAAATTTCGGCAAGTCTTTAGTTTTGCGTCACGGTCCCATCTGGGCAACTGTAGGTACCAGTTGAAACAAGACGCTACGGAGCGTACACTTCGGCGTCGTGGAAGTGGAACTGATTAATTGTAAATGCGGTGGAATAGTACGAAATGAAATATGGTAAGAGTAAGGTGTTAATTTGTGAAATTATGGGGTTTGTCAGGATATTCTGAAAAGAGCAACATCCAAGAGGGCTACTTGCCAAAAAATAGCATTTCGGACGAATTGTCTCTGAGATACTAGCCCGGGTATGCTCTGATGACTGCATACAAATCCTTCTAAATTTGACTTGGGTCTAAACGTTTAGACCTAAGTCAAATATGAGGTTACTGGCGGTGAATAACAAGTCTAACAAAACAAACAGTGATAAAAGGCTTCTCTATTTTTGTTAGTCACATCAGGCTTCAAAAACAGCATAGCAGTCTCATGTACTGATTAAAGATATGTAAGGCATGGGTAAGGAGTCAATTACGTTGAGCCTGGAATTGGCTAAAACTCAATGTTCCGAGTTCGAATGTTTTGAGGATAATTATTCACTGACTATCAGCACGCGGGTATGTCGGATTAACACAAGGAAGTTTAATATCAAAGGAACATAGCCTTTACAGAGTTTTAAAACACAGCATCCACCAACACAAACTTGACTTGAACTTAAGCCTCTGCCAATATAACAAACTCTCACTTGAACTTCAGATATCTTTCGCCTTCCGGCAACTTGTAAACACAGAACTTGAAAATCGACCTTCGTCACACTTGACTAAACACAGCAGTCCAGCTCGTGGGAAAAAACTTAGTTCGTCAAAAGAACTCGCTTAGAACTTGTATACCGTTTGACATAACGTTCTCGAAAATACTAAACAGGCGAATAGTGGTAGCTTTTCGACATATTTATGATTTCAGTGACTGATGCAAATCTGCTGACTCATGCTGAAATGTAAACATGCCCTAATTAATTATTCATGAATAATCCAAAAAGGTAGAGAACGTTCGAGAAAGTCACGCGACGCATGAAAGCAATTTTACTACGTAACACTCAACAAAGACAAAATGTCTTTGTGCAGCATTTTGTAACTTTAAACTCATCATAAAACAGTTGGAAAGGAGGGTTCTCTCGTGAAATGTTTTTTTAACACTCGAAGAGAAATGCCGTGTCTCTGCGCGGCCACGTAATATCCTCTATTTATTCCTCGAGTAAATTAAAGACTAAACTGGAAGTGATCTCAAGATATCACGAAGTAGTTCGGTCTCATTTCGTGAAATAGCCGAAACAAGCCGAAACGTCACGAACTTGCACGCCCAATCTTGTCCCGAAACTAGTGCATTATTTCATTATTTTTCAAATCCCGAAGTACCCTGGTCGCAGTAGCGCAATCAGCTAATCCCTCAACTTAGAGTCTCCTTTGATCTGACGGGTCACACAGGTGAGTCTGTTCAAATCCCGGGAAAACCAAAATGATTACTCTTTCTTCCTCGAAAAAGTTAAAGAATAAATCTAAGAAATCGAAGTGATCTCGAGATATCTCGAACTAATTCGGCTCTCACTTCGCCAAATAGCCGAATAAAACCGAAAACCCACAGACTTTGCGGGCCCAATCTTGTCAAAAAAAGTCAACTTTGATACATTGCTGAGCGTCACGAATCCTTTACTTCACGCTCAACCCAGTTTAAAAAATAGATGGTGGTTTATCAACCACATGGTAAAAAAGGGGACTGTGAGTTCTCAAACACCTTAACCTAAAGCTCATAAGCAGTAGTCCATTTTCCTTGTTTCCCGCAAATTCAGTGGTCTGCTAAAAGGCTGCCGTTAAATCAAAAATAGGGCCTTTGGCATCTTCCATTTCTTATTGAATCCCTCCTCCTCCCCGCCCCCTCCACTAGTTTGGAATGTTGTACACTTGCTTTCAAGGCGGTGTAGCTTGTTCCAGGCTCCGAGATGGTCGGGTCCGCTGATTTCGCGTGCCTTTTTCTTTCGCGTCTTCCCCACTATCTGAGAGCCTGGAACAGGATAAAGGCGTTGCAAAATGCCTAAATGAGTTAATTAATAAAAGCTGAGTTTTGTTTATCAAATCGCCTTTTTCAAGCATGCTTCTACGTGTAGTTCTATTCATTTGTTTTACGGACTTGGAAAGTAGCAAACCAAACTGTTTAAGGCAAATATCTACAACAAAGCTTGGTTTTCATTTATTCGCAGCAGTTGGTTTGGTTGCCGAGCATATTGAAATAATTCGCCAGAACTACAAACGTCATGAGGGATGGCTCGCGCCCTTTCCTTGGTGCGAAGACTTTCAGTTTCAACTAAGCGATATTTATACACGGCTTCGTATGGTCAGTAGGGAGAAAAGAGCGAGAACAACAGCGGAGCAAAGAGTTGTTGAAACGACTGAAATCTTCAAACCCCACGATGAATGCAAAAAACCTAGAAAAGTATTGATTGAAGGAAAGCCAGGTATGGGGAAGACGACGTACTGCAATAAGGTTGCTTACGACTGGGCTATAAACATAGACAACGAAGAAGACTGCTTTCCGGAATTTGAGATGGTGCTCTTGCTGAAATGCCGTGATGTCGAGATCGAGTCCGATCTTTGGGGAGCCATTGACGATCAGCTTTTGCCAGATGAAATTCATCAAAAGGAAAGAGAGAAATTCTTTGAGTTCATTCGGCAAAATCAATCAAAGGTTCTACTGATACTTGACGGATTGGACGAGTTACCTTCGAGCAAACTGCCGGGGTTTACCGACGTCATACAAGGTAAAATGCTTCCTCTATGTCACCTTGTGGTTACAGCGCGACACGAGGCAGGGATACCTATGAGAAAGGTTTGTGACACTCTGCTAGAGATTGAAGGTTTCACTTATCAAGAGAGCAAAGAATTTATTCACAAATATTTTGCCGGCAAGGAAGATTTAGCCGAAAAGCTCTTGGATAAAATACAGATTGAGAAAAGGCTTAAAGAGATGACAGCGAACCCATTAAACACTGCACTGCTTTGCCTTCTTTGTGAAGATTTTCAAGGTATTTTACCTGAAAGTAGAACTCAGTTGTATTTGGAAATAGTACAATGTGTTCTTATCAGATACAGGACAAAGAAAGGTCTACCAGTCGAAAATGAGGATCTGATTGAAATCTACAAAGATCAGTTGAAACTCCTTGGCTTGATAGCTTTAAACGGCCTGTATGAAGACAACATGTACTTTCAGGACAAAAAGCTTTCAAGTGAAAATGTCGACTTACCTGAATTTGGCTTTCTGTCAGCTCAACCTGGAAGCAGCAAACGAAGACCGTGTATGTATTACGGTTTTACGCATAAGAGTTTTCAAGAGTTCTTCGCGGGACATTATCTTTGTTGCCAACTTGTTAGCAAAGAAACCAATCCAGAAATATTGGTCACTGACACAAGATATTTCGGAGCGCTGAGAGAGGTATTGAAATTTACCTGTGGTCTGCTTGCAGTGACATCTGAAGAAAGTGCCGTAGCCCTTATTAACTGCATAGCGAATGAGGTAAACAAAGTTGATGCGGGAACGGAACGTTTACTTGTTGCAGTTGAGTGCATTAAAGAATGCAAAATTGAAAGCAGTGATTTTCATATAGAACTGGCACGTACCATTGGCGCATGTCTGGCACTTCAACAGTGGGAGATCAAACGTAAAGGTCTAGGTGACGCTGCTACTGCTGTGATTGCTGCCGTGCTTAAAGCAAACACAACTCTGACGAATTTGAGTTTTTCAGGTAATAACCTTGGTTCTGCCGGTGCGGAGTCACTTGCTACAGCGCTAAAAACAAACACAACTCTGACAAATTTGGATTTGTCTGGCAATAACCTTGGTCCTGCCGGTGTGGAGTCACTTGCTACAGCGCTAAAAACAAACACAACTCTGACAAATTTGGATTTGTCTGGCAATAACCTTGGTCCTGCCGGTGTGGAGTCACTTGCTACAGCGCTAGAAACAAACACAACTCTGACAAATTTGGATTTGTCTGGCAATAACCTTGGTCCTGCCGGTGTGGAGTCACTTGCTACAGCGCTAGAAACAAACACAACTCTGACAAATTTGGATTTGTCTGGCAATAGCCTTGGTCCTGCCGGTGCGGAGTCACTTGCTACAGCGCTAAAAACAAACACAACTCTGGCAAATTTGTCTTTGAACGGAAATAACCTTGGTCCTGCAGCTGCCGGTGCGGAGTTACTTGCTACAACGCTAAAAACAAACACAACTCTGACACATTTGGTTTTGACACGAAATACCCTTGGTTCTGCCGGTGCGGAGTCACTTGCTACAGCGCTAAAAACAAACACAACTCTGACAAATTTGGATTTGGCTCACAATGGAATTGGTCGTGCCGGTGCGGAGTCACTTGCTACAGCGCTAAAAACAAACACAACTCTGACAAATTTGAGTTTGTCCCGAAATAGGCTTCGTCCTGCCGGTGCGGAGTCACTTGCTACAGCGCTAGAAACAAACAGAACTCTGACAAATTTGGATTTGTCCCAAACTGACGTTGGTCCTGCCGGTGCTAAGTCACTTGCTACAGCGCTAGAAACAAACACAACTCTGGCAAATTTGCATCTGTATGGCAGTAACATTGGTCCTGCTGGTGCTGAGTCACTTGCTACAGCGCTAAAAACAAACACAACCCTGACAAATTTGGATTTGGGTTTGAATGACCTTCGTCCTGCCGGTGCGGAGTCACTTGCTACAGCGCTAAAAACAAACACAACTCTGACAAAGTTGTATTTGGCTTACAATAGCATTGGTCCTGCCGGTGCGGAGTCACTTGCTACAGCGCTAAAAACAAACACAACTCTGACAAATTTGGATTTGGGTTTGAATGACCTTCGTCCTGAAGGGGCGGAGTCACTTGCTACAGCACTAAAAACAAACACAACTCTGACAAAGTTGTATTTGGCTTACAATAGCATTGGTCCTGCCGGTGCGGAGTCACTTGCTACAGCGCTGAAAACAAACACAACTCTGACAAATTTGGATTTGTCCCAAACTGACGTTGGTCCTGCCGGTGCGGAGTCACTTGTTACAGCGCTAAAAACAAACGCAACTCTGACAAATCTAAAATACTAATTACTCACTGTCTCATTTTCTTTCTTTTTTTTCTTTTTGTGCTATTTGTAAAACTCACCACGTTCTTTCGATGTTTCCCTGTTTCCCTGCTTGAGCGAGTTGGTGGTCTCTTTCTCCTTAAATGTAACTTTGAACTTAAACATCTTAACATCCACATTCCATTGATCTTTTACGAGAAAGCCTTGTAGGCCTGGCAATCCATAAATTCGTTCACTCCCTCCTCAAAAGAAGAAATACTGAATGAAATCTTATGGAACAACCGCTTTATTAGGATCAACAATTATTCAGTATACTATAAAGCATGGCATGTAGCGGGTGTTGAAAAAATTGGAGATCTCTTCAACGGCAATACCTTTCTATCTCACCAAGACTTCTGCTCTTATTTTGGTCTTAAAACTAATTTTCTTACCTACTACGGTTTATGCAAAGCAATTCCTCCTAACTGGATTAAAATAATGAAAGGTAAATTACAACCGCCTTCGAATAAATCCATAAGTATGGATAGAATTCCCGTTGAGAAGCTTTCTTCTAAACTTGCTACCAACTTTTTTGTTGAAAGAAAATTTGTTCCTGCCACCGCCAAAAAAAGACTGAGAAAAGCTAGTTTAAACGAACAGCAAATTTCTCAAATTTACAAGATGCCTTTCAGTGCTACGAAAGACATACAACTCTCAATGTTTCAGTTCAAGATCTTACACCACATCTTACCCACCAACGCTACATTATATAAATTCGGAATTAAGGAACATGACCGCTGTCATTTATGCGCTGAAAAGCAAACAATCACACACCTATTTATGACTTGCCCCAATGCTCAGCTGTTTTGGACACATTTTTCAGTTTGGTGGCGCGAAAAAAACAACATTGAGATCTCGCTTTCTGAAGCACAAACACTTTATGGCATTACAGACACCGTGCCTCAGTGTCTTGGTTTAAACCTCTGCTTGATAATTGCAAAATACTATATTTACACCGCGTCTAAAAATGAGGAAGATTATTTTTTCGACGCTTTTTTGTCTATCCTTAAAAATAAAATACAAATTGAAACTAGCAAAGCAAAGGTGCAAGTCAAGCTGTAAAAATAATTTTCTTGATTCTGGCTAATTTCCCTTGTTTTTTGGCTTTTTTGTTTTGTTTGTTTGTTTGTTATTTATTTATTTATTTATCTATTTTTTGTCGTTTTTTACGTATTTACTCTTCGTCAATAGATAGTAAGTTAGTAATTAGTTGTATTAGAATGCTTTTTTCATTATTTTGTAACAGACTCCAACTCATTGGCTCCTGTTTTGTAAGCATTATCTTGTAAGTTTATATTATGTAAGTATGTAGTATTTAACTTAGCAAGTTATATGTAAGTGGGTATTAAAGCCTTATGTAAGTAAGTAAGTACTATGTAAGTCAGCATTATGTTTGTAAAAACAATAAAAATTAAAAAAAAAAATTATAAAAATAAAAAAAAAAAAAACGTTCTTTCGATGTAAATGGATTTTTTCAGTTTAAGAAAAATCACGCATCCGCTCAGCCTAGTTTCGTAGTTAGAGCCTGGCAAGAAGGTAGTTCATGCAATGATATATAGAAACAATTTAAGTTATTGAACAAAGGAATTAGCCTGATTTCAGCCGTTTTCTCCGCCCGCTCACTTGAGACTGCTGAAATTCAGCATTACAAAGGAATGTAATTTATAATTTGTAATTATAATTTATGTACGTAGAGGCTGTCCTTAAAATCCCTTTGTTATTCATTTTTTAAGCCGAGGAATTTTTGCGTAAAGTGCCAAATGAGAACTTTCTGCTTTAACAGCTCTCTTGCCGTTTGTGATGCATTTTTTCATTAATCATGTAATATGTAACAGTAAACAGTGTGTCTTGTAATTTTGTACTTGTTAAGTTCAAGTTTTTAGAACTTGTGGATTAGCGTAAATAGACTGTGTTATGTGGAGAAGCTGCATGGGGATGATCGGATATAATTATCAGTGAGACTTTCAGCTATATTTAAGCCATCTGTTAATTTTTGTACCTCAGAATTCGGCTGTATAAAGATTAATAAAAAATAGATTCATCAATTTCTCGGCTGACGGTTAAAATGGTGGCCAATTTGCAGCTCTCTGTTAAATCCCATCCAGATCCTCTATGTGGCTAGTAACTAACTACATTGTATAAAAGACTGAAACAAGCTCTGCTTACACTTGTACTTTTAAAATGTCCATTGTTTCAGTTTAAGGTTTGTTAGCATGCAGTGCGAATTGTGCATTCTGAGACTTGCGACACTTGTGACAAGTTCGTGTCAAGTTCCCGTCGTAACAAGCATATACTAGTCTTTGCAGCTGATCGAAACTTTTGGGTAAATAAAAGTATTGTGAAGTATTAGTAAGAAAAACGTGTGCTTGTTTCATTGTTAACCCCACCTTATTTTTTCATATTATATCGTGCATCAAAAAAGAAATATTAAGAAAAAAGTACTGGTACAGTAAACAACATCCGCATATAAGAACACACGATTTCGGAGGTCAGGCTGATTGAGTTCTTATTTATCGGGTGCTTAATGACAAATCAGCGTCAAAATGTTCTTAAAATGTTCTTAAATTTTTATTTAGTAATACTATCCAAGGCATGTTGCTAGAGGTATATTTAGCATATTTTAGGAAAATAAAATAAATAATTATTCTGTAATTGGATTATATTAAAAAATGAAGTTATCTGACAGCAAACATTAACTTACATGTTTTGTAACTTTTTCCATTTTATAAGAACATGTTCCAGTTGTCAGGCTGATCTTGTTCTTATAAAAATGGGGCTTTATTGGCCAAATTTCAGCCTGGTGTTCTTAATCCATTTGTTCTTATTTGCGGGTGTTTACTGTATTGTACCTGTGATGGGTGTTGTCCCTCTGAACAGTGTTGATCCTTTGACCGGTCGTGTCCCTGTGACGAATGTTCAAAAAAACAAACAAACAAACAACAACAACGCTCTCCGGCTCGGGTTCAAGCCCATACGCAGTGGAATATTCGCTAACGGTCACCATCTCCCGTGAACCAACAAGTTTTTTCGTGATTAGCCTTCCGTTCAAATGCATCCGATAAAAACTACAGGACGAAAAATCAAGAATCCGTAAGCTTTAACGTGGCGGAAACACGTTACTCCTTTGCGGAAACACAGCGGCAAACGCGTGTTTCCGTAAGCGGATAAAAATTTTTGAAAGTGAAGAAGTAACAGCATCTGATCTCACGAGGGATAAGAATGTTTCAGTTGTTTTAAAAGATTTGCGGCATATCTGTCATATCTTACGTTAAACTTATGAAGCTTTTTGCTAAAATGGCCAAGCTTGCTTTTTCAGAATATTACTTAAGGTCTCGGTAAAGGAAAACGAGGTGCCCACAGAAAAAAACATTCTAGTCGCCCGAGTATTTTCGCTACAAAGGCAAGTTATATATCAAATTAAAGCTAAAAGACTAAATTACCTTATAAAATATTTTATTTTATCGAATTTCAAAAGGCGCTTAAGTTTTTTGCTCTCGAACTCAGAGGTATCGAGGTTACTGCTGATCATGAAGCTCCAGCCCTTTCGCGTTCTTAAATATTCACTTCCTTTTTATTGCGTCTGATTGACAGATAAAAGACCTTTAAAAGGGTGTGAGGAAATTTGCATATGTCTCGTATTAGCGGAATTATTGCATTTCAAACTAAAAAGTCGAATCTCGAGCGCGATTTACGCAAAGAAACTGACATAAAATGAGTTACAAAGGAAAATCGGAAAATCCCTCTCACCCTTTTTGAGTCTATATCATGATCCATCATATCTGAAAGTTTCAAAGCGATAGCTTAAAACCTGTCCCGACTGGAGGTCGGAGAATTTTGATTTTTGCGCCTAAAATAGAGTGAGAGAAAATCAGCTCTAAAGATTTAGCGCGAGGTCCATGCTTGGCTGGTTAGCTCACAAAAGGCTGATTTTAGAAGGGTTAAAAAGCACGTTCTGATTTTCTTTCTCTGCCAAAATAAAATTTAGGACCCACTCACGCCAAAAATCCAAAAAAAAACAAAATCGAGCAATGTACTAAAATTTTCATTTACCGAGACCTTAATCAGTGGCGCTTGCTTCAAGTTGGCACCGGACTCGAAATCGAATTGTTGAACGACTCAAGAGAGGTTCAGAGGCAAGACCTCGAAGGTACTTGACCGGGGGCAGGGGAGATACTGTAGCAAGTTTTAGGCGGGGAGTCTCCGCCCTGAGGTCCAACCCCTTACCCTTTTATATACCATTTTTGACAGAAAAGGTTGCCCTTTCGTATACCTTCCACTGAAAAATGGTACCGCTTACACATACCTAATTTAGAAGTTTGCATCCCTTTTAACTGCTATAAATACACTGTCTTTAAAGTATTACATGTAATATATCACAAAACCGGTAGAACATTTTCTAGACTTTTTCACAGCCACAAAATCCTTCTGTAGCCCTTTTAGGTCATCTCACAGACCAAAATGACAGATTGCCCTACCCTTTCTTATACTTCAACTAGTGAAATCCCTACCTTTTCATATACATGAAGCCTGAAAAAGGTACTCCTTCCGGGCGGAGCCTCTCCATATAGGCCATTATATAGTGAGTACCCTACCACGGTGCACTAAGTAAGACTGGTAGTGCTTAATATCAATCAAACATTGATTGGTGCAAGGGAGAATTGTAAAATGATTCAAGGCTTAACAGTGTAAAAACATGTCGGCATGTTAATAAACATTATGGGATACGTGTGGTTGGGTGAAAACGATTGGAAAGCGATATGTGGACGCGAATCAGTTTTGTCGAGGTAAAACAAAAATCCGTTTTCGAACGCGAGTGTCGGGCGGACTTGGTTTAATTCATGAGCTCCAAGCTGCGAAATACGAACAACAGTTTTAAGGCCCTTGACATCTACGGCATTCATTCTTTATCTATCGTTACTTTATGAATTGCTAACATAATTAATCTTTGCCTAATAGCTGTTGTTATCTGCCCAGAACCCCGGG